TGAGGAGGAGGTCTGCGCTCTCGCCGCTCCCGAGTCGCAGACACAAAAGCCCCCAGCCTGGAGACGCCTGCAAAACCCGCTCTGGGGCGGGCGAGGGACGTGGCGCGGCCCCGCGGCTTCCCCGCCCTGAGCTCCCCAGCCCCGCGCGGGGACGGACTTCGGGGGGCGGGGGCCGCTGCCTGGTCCCGCGGCGCCTGCCGCCACCGCCGTCTCGCGCTCCGCCTCGGCCCAGCCCCCACGGCCCGCGCGCGCCTCTCGCTCCGCGCCGGGACTCGCGAGCCCGCGGTCCTCGCAGCCGGGGCGGGCAGTCGCGCGCCGAGGGGCCGCCCCGCCCAGCCCCGCGCCTGGCCTCCCCTGTCGCCCGCCAGGCCCGAGGACGCCCGGCTCTGCGGCCGGCGCGCCCCGGCCGGGCTTCTGCGAGGAAATGGCATCTCGGAACTTCGTCGGAGGCCACAGCGGGCATCTTGGCCTCGCAGCCAGGGATCTGAAAGAGGAACGTACGATCCGAGAAAACTTTATAAGCGGGAGCTGGAGAGTTCTCGGCCGGCTTGTGGAGACCCACATCCCCCGACTCCGTGTCCGTGGTCTGGACACCTGTTTGTTGAATGCCCCAACTTCAAGTTTTAATGACTTGACTCTTCAAGAAAGAGCGTTGAGGAATTTCATACAGCCAAGGAGGGTGGGTAGGAGCGGTGAGAAGGCTGGACCTGATTTAGACGTTACATTTTAGGAGAAGGAGCCCTAGTGTGATTGTACTTTGGATTTGGTCACTGATTCCACATCCATCGGTTGGGCTGTGTGACCTGAGGCAACCTAGGCAACCTCTCTGAGTCTCAGACGTATGATCTTTAAAAGGCGGTGGGGCTGCATCTCTAACGTCTCATCTAGTTGTGACGTTCTTTGACTTTTACAAAACTGTTGTCCCTGTTCGTTGTTAGGTTTTACAGTTATCCTACTAAGGAGAATCTGTAGGCGCAGACTTTGATCTTCAGTCAGTGAGACACTGGGTTTATTTTGATGTCATAATCACTGAAAAGCACTCATTAATCATGAGAGCTAACCGCAAACAAAAGGAGTCTCATCCTTTTGAGACAAGACCCCTAAAAGGCACTCAACTGCACAAAGAATTTCAGAAAGAAGGTGTAAACATGAAGCTAATGTATAGTCTTAACAGCTGCATCATGGACAAGCACCATCGCCACAGATTCAGCTTTAAAAGACAAGATATGGTATGTGCAGGAGACAAAATTTACCCTTTCTCTAGTAAGTTTTGAGGAAAATTCGTAATTGGAAGATCCAAACTAGGATAGGCTGAGGAAAATTTTGTACAGAAGGTACATCTAAGGAGAAACTCACCATCCCCTCCCCCCAGCTGGAATGTAAGCTCCATGCAGACAGGAATTTTATCCACTTCACTACTGTATCCTCTGGTACCTGACAATGACTGGCAAGTGTTCAAAATTTTACTGTTGTTGAATGAATGCATGCATGAATAGACAGACTGGAAGTGACCGTAGGATGATGGGATTGACAGAGTTTTGTTCAGTGTGATAAAGCCTAAGCTAGTTGTATGATAAAGCAAATTGGGTCTTACATTCTACCTTGTTGAGAGATGAGCTTTGGAAATATCAGTCAGTATGGAAATGTAGAATTTTTATTACATAAACCTTAGTGCAAGGAGAGTGGTTGAGCAAAATCATTGCTAAGAGATTTTGAATTCTTTATTGTAATTCCCTAAAGCTAGAGACTCAGAAATAGTATGTAAATCAAGAGAAGCAAATTGGCCTTTTTTTAAATGATTCATCAGAAATAAAAAGACCATTTTACTTGGCTATGGATTTTTACATCAATTTGACTTCCAAATTCTGACTACTTAGTTGCTACATACCACAATTACTTGGAGGGCATTCTGAAATTTCACATTCCCAAACCCCTCCCCAGATTTACGGAGTCAGAATTATTGGGAATGAGGTCTGGAAATCTGTCTTTAGATGCTCTCTTGGTGATTCTACAGCAATGAGAATTGTGCATTATATTCCATATGCCTCCAGTATGACAAAATTGCTAACAAAAATATTCCTTCACTTTGCTATTGTAGTCTTTATCCATGAGACGTGGTTATGAATTCGAGTCGATCTTTACTCCCTCTTTCATACAGAGAGATGCAGGTAAATCTATTGTTGGTGGGCTTACCCCACTGTTTAAAAATACATGCTCAGTCATGCCTAAAACTCTGTAGAAATACATTTTAGGGTCAGCAAATTTTTTCTGTGGAGGGCCAGATAATAAATATTATAGGTTTTTCAGGCCATGTGTTCTCTGTCACAACTATTCAACTCTGCCATTATAGAAGGAAATCAATCATAGGCAATATGTAAACAAGTGGGTATGGCTGTGTTACAATAAAACTTTATTTATAAAAACAGGCAGTGTGCTGAATTTGGTCCAGAGACTAATCTGCTGACTCCTAGACTAGAGGTTGGATCACATAAAGGACTTTAGAGCTCAGGGACAGGCCTAGGCTGCAGATATAAATGAAGGAAGTATTACCTAAAAATGGATAAACTACCTAGGACTAATGAGAAATGAGAGTCAAGGACAGAATACAGGAAAACAGTGACATTTTAAAAGATGGGTAGAGATAGAGGAGTCTGTAAAGGAAATTGAGAGGGATTGGAAAAAAAAAACAACAACCCAGGAATGTCAGGGCAATCAAGAAAAAAGAGAAAAATGATAACATGATCACATGCTGCAGAGAGAAGTACTCATTTCTGTCATCACCCATCCTTGGCCTGGAATGTACTAAACTCCTCCTCGTGTTGTTTTGCCATATTTTGGAGTATTGAATTTATAGTTTATGCTTTAAATATATTACATCTCAAATTTTGTCTTTTTGTATTGTGGAAGGTAGCACAGTGAAATGTTTAAGTGTAAAGAATCTGATATGAGGTGGTTTAGATTTACATGCAAACTTTTTTCAGAAAAAAAGAAAATATTCCTTTAAGTTCTATTTTTCAAGAATTTAAAATCAAAGATCTATTTAAAATAGAATAGAAATAAAAATCAAAGCCAATTCTAGGTGTTTGGAAGTTTTGCAACATTGATTTGAGTCCTTTCATGATATTATTGCAAACGTGGTCAGCTTAGCAACCTCTATACATTAGTCAACCACATCTAGAAGCCCTTTGTAGACAAATATAGATGGGCCATTAAAAGCTCAAAACTGGAGGGAATCACAACAGCAAACTTATGGGAATGGTTTTATTAGTCCGGATTCAATCAGGAGACAGAAAACATACAGTAATTTGAATAGGGTAAGTTTAATACAAAGAATTATTAACTATAGCAGGAGATTGCTGTAGGGAGGGAATGGATAGTTAGAAGCCAAAAAAAAAAAAAAAAAAAAAGGGGGGTGCTAAAGAATATGGGAAAAGCAGGAGCACCGGCCTGGCTCAGTTGGTAGAGTATATGACTCTTGATCTCAGGGTCCTGATTTCAAGCCTCATGGTGGGTGCAGATTACTGGCGCACTTTACAAAAGAGCAGATATGAGGAAGAGCCACTGCCATTAAGGCTGAGATAGAGCACCCAAAGAAAAGGCGCCTCCCTTTCCAGGCTGAGATTCTGACAATGTAGAGTACCAGAGGAAGCTGTTGGCCCTTGGGTGCTGCCTGCATTGCAAGAGCCTGGCCCTGGATAAGTTGCCAGCACTACAGAAGCTGGACATTGGAGAAGACATGGGTGCTGCAGGAGCCCACCAAGAGGAGCATCTGTAACAGGAAAAAAAAAAAAGCCCCTTCCTCCTGCAATATCCCTCCAGCACCCGCTACTGACAAAGTTTAACATCATTCCAACTGGTAAAGGAAAAATATATTTTTTTAATGTTTATATATCTTTGAGGGACAGAGAGACAGAGCACGAGCAGGGGAGGGGCAGAGCAAGAAGGAGACACAGAATCCGAAGAAGGCTCCAGGCTCTGACCTGTCAGCACAGAGCCCGATGCAGAGCTTGAACTCAAGAACCATGAGATCATGACCTGAGCCGAAGCCAGACGCTTAACCGACTGAGCCACCCAGGTGTCCCTAAAGGAAAAATATTTAAAGAGTCCATTTTAATTTTTATGAAGGATAAATTGGGGTTGAGAGGCAATGAATTGATATTCACACAATGCTAGTGTGCACTTTAACCTAGGAAAGATCCCTAAGTGACCTCATATCAATAGCACCTCTGGTTCTGGAATATGCTCTATCAAAAAATGGTGCCTTCCAAATTTTTGCTATCTTGTTTTAAAAATTTTTTAATGTTTAGTTTTGAGAGAGAGAGAGAAAGACAGAGTGTGAGTCGGGGAGAGACAGAGAGAGAGGGAGACACAGAATCCGAAGCAGGCTCCAGGCTCCAAGCTGTCAGCACAGAGTCTGATGCGGGGCTTGAACTCCAGAACCAAGAGCTCATGACCTGAGCTGAAGTTAGATGCTTAACTGACTGAGCCACCCAGGCGTCCCACTATCTTGTTTTAAATGTATATTTATTTTCAAGGCTGTGGAATATGGGGCAGAGTTTAGCTTCAAAATACCCTTGAAGTCATTCTCCTTAACCTCCTACATCCCATCCATAAATTTTATACATTTCATAAATTTTACCTCCTAAATATTTCTGAGATGTATCCTTTCTCTATTCCTGCTGCTACCAACCAATTCCAGCCATGACCATTTATCTCTGTTCTAGACTAATACACTAATCACATAGTAGTTTCTCCTACATTCACCTTAACCTACATTCAGTCCATTTTCTACTCTGTAGACAGAGTGCTCCTTTTTATTTCGAATTTTAGACTCATGATAGGTACAGGGAAGGCCTGTGCATTCTTACCCTGGCCTCCCCCAATGTCAACATCATGTACAACTATAGTACAATATCAAAACCCAGAAACTGACATTGGTACAATCCATAGAGCTTACTTACATTTTACCAGTTATGCATGCACTGATGTGTGTATGCATGTTTGTGTGCATGTGTAGAGCTCTATGCAATTTTATCACATGTGTAGTCTTGTGTAACCACCACCACAATCAAGATACTTGACGATATCATCACCACAAGACTCCCTGATAGCAAGATTCCCTTGTATTATCCTTTTATGGCTATACCCACCCACTTCCCATCTCTAACTTATCAGTGGCAAGCACAAATCTATTCTGCATTTTTATAATTATGTTATTTCATGAAGGTCACACAAATGAAATCATGCAGTATGTATCATTTTGAGGTTTTTTTTTCCACACAACATAATGTCCTTGAATTTCATCCAAGATTGTGTGTGTCAATGTTTTGTTCCTTTTAACTACTTAGTGATATTCTATGGTATGGATATACCACAGTTAAAGCATTCACTCATTGAAAGACTGCATGGGTAATTTCTACTTTTTGGCTAATATGAATAAAACCATTATGAACATTAATGTACAAATTCCTGTGTGAAAATAAGTCTTCATTTTTCTGGGACAAATGCCCAAGAATGCAATCGCTGGGTCGTATGGTTAGTCCATTTTTAGTTTGAAAGTAACT